CTTGTTCTACCTTCTGTGATCCAATGGTGCTTTGCACCTTAATGTCACATTTCAAGGACCATAGTAGGCTTTTACTTTAATTTTTGCTCTATCGTGCTCATCACATCATCTCATCATTGAGATATTCTTATGCACACTTTGTACATGAGAGGGCTTCTGAGATGTGGAGAAATCAAATAAACCTGGAACTCAAGACCATAAAAGTGGCTGCCCCAGGCAGTGCCTGTGGGTGGCAGGTTTGAACCTGGCCCCAACCAAACTGCAACAACAAAAAAATAGCTAGGCAATGTGGCAGACACCTGTGGTCCCAGCTACGCAGGAGGCTGATGCAAGAGAATTGCCTAAGCCCAAGAACTGGAATTTGCTGTGAGCTGTGATGCCATAGCACTCTACGGAGGGTGACAAAGTGAGGCTCTGTCTCAAAAAAAAAAAAATGGCTATTCCAAGTCCCAAACCTGAGCACTCTATGTCCTAATTGAGCAACTCACTCATGGCACCTGTGACTTACTTCTGACTGAGTTTCTTGTCTTCATCTCCTGACCACCACTGAATGTCTAAATCCACTCAAGCTATAGCCAGACTGTACCACACAGAATCCTGGGTCAAACCAATGAAGTCAAGTTGGACAAGTTGTCCGCCCATTGGCCCTGTGATGTATTAATCCTATGGCCATGTACCAGTTACCTGACCTCTTGAAGTGTACGGTCCTTGTTTGAAAGATTAAAAAAACTACACTGGGAGATGTTTTAGATTCCTTCTAGAATTACGTTAAAAAATTAGAGAGAAGAAATTAAAAGCACTAGATTTAGAGGTAGACAGAGGTTGACTTATATTCCAATGCTGCCTCTTGCTAGTCTCTGTACCTTGGGCAGGTTATTTATCTTTTGTGAATTTCATTGTTGCTGTTTGTAAAATGGGGCTAATAATTTCACCATCTAGTATTCCTTTAAGAGCAACTGTGATATATAATGATGTGTATAGGACACTTAGCATAGTGCCTGGCATATATAGGAGCTCCTTAAACAGCAGTGATAATTATTAAAGACATTTTTGTAATGATTTAAAATTTACTTCAATTTGAAGAAGTAAATTCAATTGTTGCAATTCTGTGTCTTGTTGCTAAATTTCTAACAGGAGAATATTTACGAATTTGCCCACAGTTTAAGCCAAGCCTTTCTGGGGAGGCGAGTCAAAGTGACCTTTGAACTCTAGAATCTTGACAGTTATCCCACAACATGACAACAGGCAGCATGGGAGCCACTCGACTTTGCCTTTAGCTGTTGTCATTGTAATTCTCTTGGAGCAGTATGTTCTACAAAAATTTCTAAAATGACTCTTGCATTGACATAAACGCAGGGGGAAGTCAGATGGAAGACATTTTGACACTTCTGTTTTCTATCCCACATAGATGCCCCATCGGGAGGCTCGGATAATGTGGGGTGATGGTAAGGAACAGTGCCCCCCCCCAAGTCATCTCTGTAAACTTAGTGGAGCTACCAGGACCATGGAGTCCAGGCACTTGAGTGTAGCCCGAGACAGAGTAACTCTCCACAGGCCCTGATTTTGTGGCTCCAGTTCACTCAACATGGCTGGCTTAGTTTCTTAAAGTAGAAGTACCTGAATGCTTTCTTTGTCATTTAAAAACTTTAGTAGGTTAAACTTTTGCTTTCTGTAGGGATAGCCATTGGTTGACAGAGTAGTTGCCTCGGTTCAGACAGGGGACCAGTGCTTCAAACACTCATCCACTGAACCTCCCAGACACAGAGAGCCCTGGTGACATTCACACAGGTGACCAGGCACCATGTCCTTGCTCAGGTCTTATATGGACACGGCATCCTAAATAACCTGTTTTATTTTCAATAAAGGACAGCATTTATATTACATTCCCGTTAGGCACACGTGTGTGTGTGTATACTTTAAAATAAAAATTTCTCAGATCACTGCTAACCTTTGCTACATAAGATGACTCTGGTATATTCAATTCCATCCCAGTTTCTTCTGTTTTATTAGCAAATACAGTTAGTACCTATGAAGTTGATTTTACAATGCACCATTGCATCACAACTTGCAGTTTGAGAAACACCGTGACTAGATGACGTAGTGGCTTTCAGTCCCAAAGCTGAACGTCCCCAGGTCTGCTTCTACTTCCTTGACTGTCTGTCCTCAGACTAAGTGTAGAGCCTTTCCTGGGTCAGGCCTCTATTCTGCTCTTGGCTGAATTTCCTCGCAGCTGTCCCCTGCTCCTGTGGCTCCCACTGCCGCTGCTACTGCAGCACTTCATGCGTTTCCAACTCTGGACGCTCCCCAGAGTTCTCTGTGTATACCTCCAGCAAGGTCCCAAACAGTTTCAATTGGCTTTACCTGGCATCTGGAACTCACTATGTCCATTATTTTTATCATTATTTTCTCTAAACACTGCGAAGTCCCCCTTCATCTCTTAATGGCTCGCTCATTCCCCCCATTCAGCCTGAATATTTCAGACCACTGCCGACTCTTCCCTTTCCATTGCCCTCCATAACTAACCTTTCATCAAATCTTGTTAATTCTTTGCTCACAACCTCCCTCTCACTTTTCCATTTTTGACACCATATCACCTTGATTAAAAAAAATGGCTCCTCATTACCTACAGAATCAAATCTGAACTCTTTAGAAAACGGGATTGTGGCCTCAAGTCTTATCTCTATCATTGACCTCAGTGTGCCCCTTGCTGCACTGAACATTGATCCTCTGCTTATGACCTATAAAGAAATAAATCTTTTCTGGTCTCTCAGGAATCAGCTTCAATTCTTTGACTAATGTGGCACTTACCATGTGTTTCCCGCCATATAATGTCACTATTTGGATTCATATTTATTTGTTATGTTGACATGTTATTAGATACTTTCTAGAGAATTGAGGCCTGGGAGTCTTCTTGAATCTCCCTCTCAGCCTCTACAGCAGCACTTCTCAACCTTCCTAATGCCACAATGCATTTTCAATGTTAAAAGGGGGTCGTGACCCACAGGTTGAGAACCACTGCTCTACAGAGTAACCAGGCCATAAGGATGCTGTCCTCTAGACCAGTTATTCCCAAACCATCCCGTGCATGTGAATTGCCAGTGAGAATAGAGCCTCTGATTCAGCAGGTCAGGGATGGGGCTGAGATGCTGCCAGTTCTATTTAGCTCTCAGGAAATGAGAGGCTGCTGGTCAGAGACTTAGGTTTTGGGCTCTCAGCTTCCCCCTAACTCATCCCTTTTTCCCCCAGACCACTCTTTGGGTTGGCATCCTTATCACCTCTCCTGTCCCTCCCCACCACTACTCTGTGTCTCAAAACACATCTACTATCCAATGGACCATGACCTCAGCTATGAACTCCTCAAAACAAAAGTACAGTGTGAATCAGAAATGCAAGGTTACTGCCCTTATAGATCTGGCCTGTGATCTGGGAGTGGGTTAGGTGCCCTGCTGGAACAACTTCATTCTTTTCCTGTTTCCATGGTTTCATTCACTGCTCACCCTTTTTGATGAAATTAATTTGGCTACTACGCTTTCATTTAAAATTCTGATTTTCTTTCAGCCCCAGCCCAAGTCAAACCCTGTGTACTGTGGCTCCCAGGTTTTCTGTACTACCTAAGATTCCCAGAAACCTTCAAGGTATTCCTTCCTAAACCCATTGTTGCCAAAGTTCTGTGGGCTCACAAAAGAGTGAGGGCTGAGGAGCTGAAAGTCGATCAGAGGAAAATGGTTCTGTCTTGGAGGTGGAGTGGTAAATGGAGCAGCCCCTCCCCTGCAGGCTAGCCTCATCTTCTTCCTGACCACCCTGGGGGGGTTTAAGTCATGCTGAGTGGGTATGTCACCTACCCTGTGGTGGGTTTGCAGTGGGGCCTGTGAATTTCAGGCCTTTGCTCTCACTGACTTCCTTCCAGGTTATTGGAAACAGTGATGTCTCTCCTGCTACATTTCTACTGTATTTTAGCTTATATTTATTCATTCATTTATTTTCCTTTTCCTGCTGGCCCTGTTGCTCAATATTAACTAACATACTGTAAAGAAAACTGTCTTTCATAGACCAGGCAGAGGCCAGGCCAGGGCAGGGCCAGTGAAAGAGAGAGATTCTGGAAAACAACAGAAGGGGAGGACGCAGAGGTGGGCACAGAGATGCCTAGATTTGGGGTCTTAGCTCTGCTCATGTCTATATATAATTTTGGAAGCGTGATCCAATCTCTTTGGCCTGGTTTCCCAGTCCCCTGAGAGGTGGTGGGCACAGATGACTGCTATTAAGTTAGTAGGGCCATTTAGAATACTTCTGGTCTTTAGCAAAGCAAGCATGATTCTCTTTCCATCAGTCCAGTTTTCCTGTGCCCTGTGAGTGGGTCTTTGTGTGACCTTCCCAGGCTCAGGGAACAGACTGAAAGATCACTAATACATATGGGAGCCAAACTTTATTTTTAATTCTCCTTCCACTGCAAAGATTGTGAAATTCCTGCATGGAAGAAAGCAATTAACTGGGAAGGAAAATCTTGATGTAAGCATTTTCCACTCTGAGGAAACAGCCTCTCTTTCCAACGTGAGCGCATTTTCCACTGTGGCCTCTGGGGTATGAAGTTTGCACCACGGAGGCTTCAAGTCCCACTCCCTCTTTGCCCATCCTCCAGCATCCCCATATGTTTCCAGGTACAAATTAAGGGACTAACAAGAGCTCTGGCTGATCTGAACAGAAAAACAAGCCGCTCTGTGCAAGGAAGTTGGTGGAAAGCGGGAGGCAAGGGGGGGAGAGGAGAAGATTTTCAGCAGCAGAGAGGGCCTCTGAGGCCCATCTGCAAGACAGACCCTTCACTCAGCACGGTTTCTGCATTTATGCCTCTTAAATGGTCAGGAGGCGATCGATAGCACACACCTGCTACCTGGTTAATCATGGCTCTGTTAGGTAGCAGCCACGAGCACGCTGGCTGTGGGATCCTTGGGCTGACAAAAAGACCACTGAACATTGACTTTCCACTTTTCTTTCTCTTTCCCCAGGGTAGCCACTGAAGTTTTGGCAGCATTGCTGAAATCCAGTAAGCACCTCTTTTGAAGAGTGGTTCTTTCTTTTCCCTCTGATTTTAGTTAAAGGTACTCTCCTGTTCTTATGGCTCATATTTGGCCCGTAAGGCAAATAGAGCAACGTCCTGGACCTTTGGGGTGAGATGGAGGGTATCACGGCTGCACCAAGAGCATGACTGCAAAGAGAAAGTACATGTCCCTTCATGTGGATGTGTCTGTAGCGATCCCACCAAGATAACTGACCTAAAGGGGACATTCTGTCGATGGCAGCACTGGGGTACTCTCCAGCCCCTTCTAATAGGGCCAACAGCCCTGAAGGATTATTGGCAGAAAGTCCATTTTATCTAGTGGAAGAAAAGGTTATGGCTGGGTGGGAAGTGGGATTCTTACATTTGGCTCTCAACTCAGCTGAGCTCACAAATCTACATCCTTGGCCAGGTAGAGTGTTGAGAATTGCTTGGACAATGTAAATGCTAAGAACAAATTTATATCAAAAAAGTTGACTTTCATCTCAGTTGCTGATTGCAAAAGAATAGCTCTGGGGTGGGGCTGAATAATCTGAAGACTTTTTGTTTTTTTGCCTAGTCGCCCTTGCCTAATTACATTGGGAGTCAATTTCATGTGTGCAATATAGTAGCAGGCACCATGCACTTGGGAGGGAAGGAGTCTTAGCTTAATGCTTTTCCCCCTCTCCTCTTTACCTCTTCATCTGTGTTAATTTGGCACCTTGGAAACCAGCGGCTTCAATTGTGATATTTGTTTCTCTGTAGGGAGCCTGAGGCTTGTGGGTAATAGGTGAACTTTAATAAAACTTATAAATAAAAAAATAAAAATAAAAATGCCCTCTCCACCCATCCATACATCTCTGTCAACCACAGGCACAGAGAAAAAGCCAAAACCACACGATAATGTTTCCCTTTTCACAGACTGAAGAAAAATTGGAGCTTGAATTCATTTGTTGCATTGAACTTGACATGAGACATGGGTTTATCCACAGCTTTCTGACCTGCAGGTAGAGTGCAGGTGTGAGCGAGAGAAGGCTGAGGGAGGAAGAGTGAGACAGGAGGGCATGGGAAGCCGTTCCCCGTGGGTACCGGGAAGGGGATGGTTCTGTCTTTAGACTGGACATGCTACAGGTTTGGCAACTTTTTCTCATTACTTCCTGGTTCCCTCTGTGGCTCTCAAATGCCCAGTGTCTGATGCAGCCAGGTGAGAGTGTTGAATTGTAGAAGTAAAGGTGCTTGCGGATGGCCTGGCGGGCCAGCCCTGAATGCCATGCCTTGGGCAAGTAGCTTTCTCCTGAGTCTCCCCAGCCCAGCCTCAGCCCTGGGGAACTTGACGGTTCATGGGAAGGGACCCTTGAGCCCCTAGTAGGGTTGACTTAGGGTCTAGACACATTCACACTTTCCTTAGCCCTTAAGCTTACAGTGAAGTGTCCTGATAGAAAATGTCCCTGCATGGGTAAAAGTCCAAAAGTAGTCACATGCCAGTTACTACCTATGTCGATAAGAAGCATGATGTCTCAGCCAATAGCGCAAATATGGCCAGATTGAGGCTCAGGCCATTTCACTAGGTTTCCAGCACTCAGGCTGAGCTTAGCAGGTGAGCGTGCCGTGCGGAGGCTCAGCTCTTAGTTTCTGACCTCTAGAGTTACTCTCCCCTTAGAGCTCAATGCAGGGATCACCTCCTCTGACAAACTTTCCCTGACTGCCTGACTGGGTCAAATGCCTTCCTGCTGTGCTCCCATCGGCCCCGCACCTGAGCATTGATCACACTGCTTGAAATTATTGCTGTCCATCTCTCAGGGGGCTGCAAGCTTTGGAGAGAAAGGGTTATCTTTGTTATCATTGTTCTACTTGCCTCAGCATGATGAAAAGCCTGCAATAAATACTTGTTGACTAAAATTCGAAATGGATGACTGATTTGCGATATTCACATGTACAAAAATGGCAATACTGTGCCCTGCTACCTGCATCCACCCATCCGTGAGGCGAACCGATGGTTTTAACATTTGTCCTTCTAATGTCCATATACTTAATACCTTAGAGAGCTGCTGGCTTGCGGTCCTCCACCAGTAAAACAGGTTGTAATGTGCCCTAAGAAAGATATCTCGGGTTATTTGCTAATTTGGTTGAGCTGTCTATACAAGTGTTTATCTGGGGCTTAGGATTTTTATTTTTGACATGAGAGAGTTGAATGAGAGTTCTCTAATATTCTATTACTAAATACTCAGCCTTCATGTCTATGAGTGTTTGTCAACCTTGGTGTCATTGGCATTTTAGATAATTCTTTGCTGTTAGGGTATGTTCTGTGCATTTAAGGGTATTTAGCCAAATCTTTGACCTGTACCCACCAGATGCCAGTATTCTTCCTAGTTGTAGCAAACAAAATTATCTTCAGACAATGCCAAATATGTGCGCTGGGGTGGGAGTGAGTGGTTAGAATCGCCTTCTGCTGAGAATCATTTGGGCCCACATGTGAGCTGAAGCCCAGTCAGCATTTCAGGGCCCTCCCCCCCGCAAATGCCTTTATTGATATTTCCTTAGAAATGTACTTCTTGCATAATCGATCTTAAATTCCTCAGCATCAAGATCATTCACATAGGTTCATAAAAGGTGGGAACACCAAAGGCAGAAATCCCTTATCAGCATTCACAAATTACCTGGGAGAGGAACGGGTTCTAGGGAATCTCGAGACCAAGCAGGAAAAGAGGTTCTAGACAAGTCACAACCCCAGTGTGTGGTAGAAGAATTCCAAGATCACATGTGAGCGTAGCACGAGGGAAGATTGCGTTTGAATAGCCAAATCCGTCTTAGATTTGGGGAGGAGCAGTCGTAGCGTTCCAGGCAGTGGCCATCCTCCTTCTACCTGCCTAACCAAACTATTGCATGGCATGGAGGATGTGGGTGGTGATGGTGCCACTCCGGCGAGCTGGGGGAGCTGCAGGGTATGAGGGCCATGGAATTGTCCAGCTGCTTTATATTGTCTCCATGTCACCTGTGGTGAAGACCTGACATGGAATGTCTGTCGATTTGGCTTTCAGAGCAAGTTCATACCAGTTGAACTTAAATGCAGGATGTCAGTTTCTACCTAAAATTCAAAACCTTATCATCTGGCACCGATAACTGGGCATGTTTGCACGAAGCTTTAGCTCCTAAAGGCACACCCCTTTGCTGATTATTTTACCTTGATGTTTGCTGGTCAGTTAGTGTGAATTTTGGCCATTGTAACAGATCTCTGTAATTGTATCGCAAAAGAAGACCATTCCCCAGCCTAAATATGAATAAAGCCGAAACTAAAGCTCAGTTACCTCCGGGGCAGTCAGTGCTCCTGAGACAGTAAACACTGGGCATCTGAAGTCACCAAGGCCCTGTTAGGTAGTGTCTGTTGAGAGACAGCCACACCAGTAATGGAAAAAGCAGGGCCGGGATGGCCTGGGAGGGAGGGCCGGGAAGGCCTGTAGCCCACCCTCAGTAACAGCAGAAAGGAAGGGCATGGGCTGCGTGGGATGACCTCAGCTCTCTCTTCATCAAGTCCCTTCTGCAGGAAAAGCCAACATAGGATACGTGGACGATAGGAAGAGAGAAATGAACTGAAATGCAGCTTTCAATTTCTTTTCCTTCCCGGGCAATAGAGGGCAAAGTATGCTTAGAGTCCTCTTTCCCAATCACCTCGAGATCTTACACATTAAAAGTGTTGCTCCTTCAAGGGTCCTCTTGGCATCAACATGGCCTGGAAGGGTCTGATCAAAGTTCTGGCCTTTCCTTGTATCAGTTCCCTTCCTCTCCACCCACACATGCACAAACCCTGCCCTAAATCTTCCCGTATTGAAAGCTTTGCCGTTGTATGCTTTATCCTATCCCCTAAACACTTAGGTTTTTATCACCAGAATTTAATAAAGCTTTGATTAAGAAATAGTGCTACTTAATATTGCAGGCATTTTGTTTTCACTAATAAATCAAAACAACCTGTTGTCCTCTGTCACTATCTCTCTTGCTGTCTGCCTCCACTCTACCTCATCTGCCTCCGCTTTCCCTCGCCCTCTGTCTCTGTCTTTCTCCTTTTTTTCTCGTTCCCTTCTCCTCTCATTGCTCTATCCACAGCTCCCTCCTTTCCTTCACTCCCTGTCTTCCCTTCCACGAGCACTATGCATAAATGCATTTTTGAAAAATTGCGATCTCGGAAGAGGCACTTGAGTAAGCCAGCGGCAACGGGATTATGCCTGATTTGTACTGGCTCCAGGGATGAATCTTTAATAATGTCTTGGTATTAACCTTGCTGCCCAGATTTAAAGGTCATATTCTTGCAACAAGAAAACACCTTCTGTTTCAGGCCCTAAAGTTTGAAAAGGAAGTGATGGGTCTACTTTAGACAACTCTTCAAGTTAAAGATTGTCATTTAGAGGAATCTGGGAGTTTGTAGAAGGTGGGGCATCAGGAGGTTGCTGGGACAGGAAAGTGAATTAGCAAAGGAGGAGAGACAGAGAAGAAAGGAGTGAGGGAGAGATGATGCCGGAGAGCTAATGGGAAACTTGGCAGGAAGTGGAGACTTTGCAGATCTTGTAGCTAATGATCTATCTGGCTGGCGCACATGGATGGCTCCTCAGCCTGTCACTATATGAGTAGAGGGAGAGAGGCCTTCTGAGTGCCAAGAGCCTGAGCGTTAACAGGCAGCTTCATGGTCTTAGTGGTCGCCGCTGTGGCCTGGCACTCAGCAGTGCAAAGAATGGAGGATGTGAGAGTCAGATGGCTGTTCCACTGCAAACTTGTCAAAGAAGGGGCCATTTTGAAATGCACCAAACTAAGGGCTTTATTAAGAATTCTGGGAACCACAAGGAGTCCTCAGAATGGCAATATACATTTCAGGCTGAGTGGCATTTAAATAATGTCTTGGTATTAACCTTGCTGCTGGATTTAAAGGTCATATTCTTGCAATAAGAATACAAACCTACCAGCTAATCAAAATAGTCTTCAGCGTTTGTCGGGATCCCACAAGCATTCTCTGTCTCCACATG